GTTTTTCTGTCGCAGAACACAATTCTCGAATGTTTTTTATATCACCATTGCTACCATGAACAGGATCAGAAGCATGCCCATCTATAGCATTCTCTGTCACCACCAACTTTTTATGTCCTGAATTGTTAGATGCATAACTAGCAGATGGTAGGGCTGTTTCATTATGCTTGTCTTCATCCATTATTTTTTCTGAAGAAAACGCAGAATCCTGCTTCAGCGGTACGGCTTCCCCTTTAGCACCATTTAGATTTTCTTTTTCACTCGAAGAAGCTACTGACTTTCTCCTCACTGTAGCCAAATTAATATCCTCTGCAATGGTTATCTCGTCAAAATTCTCCCCCTTACCTGCATTATTGACAATAGACTTGCCTTGAACCACTTCATGGCTCTTAATAGGAGGTTGAATCACATCATTGTCTCTTCTAATCTTCTGACCGGAAGCTTTGGCACTTGACTGGTTCTCGCCTCGGAACTTTCTCAAGTTTTCCAATGCCCTTTTTCTTAGAATTGCCTCCAAGTCTTCGTCATCCAAACTAGCCCCAGAAGTCTCACTTGTTTTCTTCTCCACAGATTCACTGGTCCCAGCACCATAAATATCAGGCTCACTTCTGTCAAATTGGCTGTTGTTATTATGGTTCTGATCTCTTTCAGGTTCTGTTAAATTAGAAACAGCAATCCTATCAACTTCTGTATCCTCAATTCCCACTTTTTCTTTTGGAGTGGGAAGAGAATGGTGGTCTGATTCTCTCTTACTGCCCCCATCATTACTGTCATTACTTCTAGATGGGTAATCATAATCATCAACAATCTCCTCTTTAGTCTCATAGTGACATAATTCTTTTGTTTCCTCTGCCTCCTCTGCAACAGTAATAACTGATTTGAGTCGCCTTGAGCTGTTCTTACTGACATATTTCTCCTCAGTCCATTGATCACTGTTTTCACCAGAGAAACTGAAGGATGAGCAACTTCTGGCTCTGTATCTATTACTTCTTTCACTTTCACTTCTGCCTCTATCCGGTCTTTTTTCCTTTCTTTTTCTTTCTACTCTTCCCCTATGCCTTTCAGGTTCATTATCATCAGTGCTAGCACTCTCACCATAACAGGTTGAGCAGCTCAATGACCCATTGCTCATAGAACCAACAATTGCTTCTTTCCTAAGCTTTTTCTTCTTATATGGTTTCTGCCTCGCCTCTTGCTCACTCTTTCTCTTTGCCCTCTTTCTCTTCGTATCATGGTGAGAATCATCACTGCTTTCATGTCTATAGGAATGTCTCTTGGCCATCTTCCTTCGACCTTCCTCATTTTTCCTTTTGGAAGACCGAGCTTTTCGACTTCTGTAGCTGTCCTTGGGACTAGAAGACAATGATGTGTCTGAACTCAATGAATCGCTATAGTCAGAGATGGAAAGAGACGCCTCACGCTGCCGCCGCAGTTTCTTGGATGTATGTCTCCTGCTCTTACTTTTACCACTTGTCCGTACCTGAACCAGCAAATTCAACATAAAATTATATGGAATTCTCATTTCCCCACTCCACAGTAAAAAAATCCAATTCAACCATCCGATATTGCAGGGACATGGGTACAAGTATTGAACAGGTAACTAATGTGGCCATATATAGTTATAGATGGAGAGTAATGAGTGCGAAATCAATCAAAATATTAGCCTAAGTTAGTATTAACCTAAGTTACTTAATCTGATACCAAAGTTCACATAACTTCGTTAAAACTACATCAGAGTAACATGTGATGTCGAAATTGTGCAAGCAAATATGTAAGATTTCTCCATCTCTTTTCTAATTATTTGTTGAGTTGGTAAGATTTATTGAGAGTCAAAACTTTGGAAGCAAACCAACAAACCACGCACCAGGTAAGTCATGCGCCTAGAAGTCTCCATGCTTCATAGCAACCAAAATTTACAGAGTGCAAACCAAATGCACTAAGAATGAGCACGAAAACCAAACAACCAAATCAAAAATCGTCATCTCATATAAGAAGAAAAACTTGAAACACTTAAACCCGGCAAAGAACTTCCAGCATCCAGAAAGGAAAAAGTGTCTTCCTCAGATAAGTATATCATTTCCACGCTCACTAATTCATTTCAGTTCCCAAAGCACAAGGTAAAATAGAAAGTGGATCTCTTTTCGGAACAGTCATAAATCTGAAGCGAAAAACCCAATACCCAAAACGAATGCAATAGTGTCATGGAGAAAAAAATTGAGTGGATGTTGATATATTGGTCATACCTTCAAGGATTTCTTAGAACGTTTCTTCTTGCGCGAAGCGGACGATTTCCCCATTCGAGCACTCTGCAAAATCGAATATTCAAGAACAAATCAGAGGAAAAATATAAAGAAAAAGGGAAAGAAATCCAAGCTGTTAATAAATGAAGAAAATTTTTGGGAAAGGCATCGTCCACGTACGACAAGATAAAGTGGTTCTTTCTACCCCACAAATATTACCAGAGAATCCGAACTCGGGAAGTTTGAGACAAGGGCATGGATTTTTAAAATTAATACTAATACTGATCGTTGTTTTAAATCAATATATATATTAAAACTCTTCCACCAAGCCACTTTTAAAAAAGGCTTACTCTGGGCTCCTCACTTAAATTACTGTTCACAAGCCATCATAAATTATGTATGGCTTGCATTTAGGATTCTCGGGCTTCGTGCTATGTGGCTCAATTAAGTGGCTGCGTGCAACTTTATTTTAATAGGCTTAGAAATCTGGTCATAAAAGACATTAAGAACATTTTTAAAAGGCATAAAACTAGAAATATTAATTTTTAAGGCTGCTGAAAATTATTTTTTAAATTATAGATAAGTTTCTCTTAAAAACAAAATCTTAACACCATCTTTTCTTATTCGCTATAATCTTATAAAATTTTTATTTTGAAACTTTCTTTTCTTTATTTTAAATACAAGACAAGAATTATGGTTACAGATAAGATATTTTCTCTTCTTCTTATCTTTTTAAAACATTTATATTAATAAAAATCAAAAAATTATTTTTTGAAGGTTGTTGAAGATTATTTTTTAAATTATTCCATATCCTTTGAAGTTTCTTTTAAGAACAAAAACTCAGCAGAAACTTTTATTATTCAACATAAACTTGTAAAATTTTTACTTTGTAACTTTCTTTTCTTTATTTTAAATACATGACAAGAATTATTGTTGAAAACTAGATATTTCTCTTTCTTACCTTTTCTAAATATACAGTAATGAAAGACTGGAAAAATTATTTTTTGGGATAATTAATCTCCAGGTCCTTATAGTTTCATTTGATTTTTAATTAGGTCCTTATAAAAATTTTTCTTTTTATTAGATCCTTTTACTTTTGTGTGTTTTTAATTAGGTCTTTCTATTTTTTTTTCTTTTTATCAGGTCCTTATAGTTTCACTTATTTTTTAATTAGGTGCTTTGTAGTTTTTGAAAAATTATTTATTAACTTTATTCTTTAAAATTAATTTCATTTTTAAATTAATAATTATATAATTGGACAAAATAATTAATATAATCATTTAATAATTAATAAATAATCAGAATAATAATTATGCTTAAATATAAATTATTTATAATCATATTTTAATTTTAGATAAATTTATTATTATAATTTGAATTTTATAATTATAAAAATTTGAATTGAAAATAAATAATATATTTGTTTAACTAAAAATTTAAAAGAATATTAACATAAGATTGTTACAATAATTTATTATTTGTAAAATGTTATTATTTGTAAAATAAAGAATAGAAACTAGAAGGACCTAATTAAAAACAAAGTAAAACAATAAGGACCTGATAAAAAGAAAAAAAATTATAAGGACTTGATTAAAAATATATGAAAGTATAAGGATCTGATAAAAAGAAAAAAAATGATAGGGACTTGATTAAAAACCAGTTGAAACTATAAGGACTTATATATTAATTATCCCTTATTTTTTTATAAGGTTGTTTTTTTACCAGCATTTTTTATAATGTTGTTGAAGATTATTTTTCAAATTATTTCATATCTTTTAAAAACCAAAACTTAGCACCATCTTTTATTATTCACTATAATCTTATAAAAATTTTAATTTGTAACTTTTTAATTTTAAATATTGAGAAAATAGAGAAAATATTGGAAAAATTATTCTATTAAGTTGTTGAAGATTATTTTTTTAATTATTTCATATCCTTATAAGTTTTTCTTAAAAACAAAATCTTAGCACAATAATTTATTATTCCCTATCATCTTATGAAATTTTTATAATTAACTTTTCAGAATATTGTTAATATAAGTTATAAAATTATTAATTTAATAACATTTAAAAAAAAAATACACAACACCCAAAATAAGGAACGGAGGTGGAGAGGAGAGGAGAGATTGTAAGAACATAAATAAAAAAGGTTCGCTTAGACTAAAGCCCTTTTCAAGTTTTCGAGTGTTTTCAGCGGGAAGCCAAGCAGATGGGAGATGAGAAGGACACAAGAGGGCGAAGCAGCATTCAGAGTCGCAGTGATGCAGAACTGTAGAAGGCTGAATTGCAGATGCAGAGACATGCAAATGGAGAAGAGGCCAACAACTCTAGAGGCAAGAGAGAATCTATTTCCGTTTTGGGTCGGTCCCTAGAGAGACAATTCCATTCAAATTCAAAATTCAAACTCATTTGACTGAGCAAATGTCTTCCCTCCTTCAAGCATCAAACCCAAAAGAAAGATTGCAGAACGTTGTGATCAAATTTCTCTGCCCCACATTCTCATCTCTCTAATCCAAGGGTTTTCAAATTTTGAATACCCTATGGCGCGTTCCATCTCAGGTTTTTGAAGCCTCTAACCCCCTCCTCTGCCATCGAATCTCACACAGGCAAGTGGGAAAAGTTATGTTCTTCATTTTTGTCTTTGTTTCAGATTTCCTTTTGGTTGCTTTTATAACCGTATCTTTCATCTGGGTTGAAGGTGGATGATTTTGGTCTTCTTATTTTGTTAGATGATTCTAGTCTTGGTTTTAATGGTTAGGTGAGGACCCGAGTGGGGAGTTGGCTTTATCAGTTTTAGAAATGAATGGGCAAATAGCTATCATGCGAGGAGGCGCAGGTGGGGAGCAACCGACGAGGCAGAGAAAGAAGGCACCTTTAAAGCTAGATAAGTCCTTGTATCAAGTTTTCTTTGACTACCTTTCTCCCTCATTACAATCAATATTCTATCCTGAATGCTAATAAAATGGATTTTTTGAGTTTAACCAAGAATGCACGCTCCAAAGCATGTTTTCTTATTGTTTCTTCAAATTTTTTGTTCTTCAATTTTGGATTCTATTCTGGGCAACTTTTCTTATGGGAGTAATTCATTGGTGGTGAGTCTGGATACTTATGTTTCCAATTTGAGTTATATGCTTCTTGACCAAAAAAAAAATTTGAGTTATATGCTTCTCCCTCCTCTACTTTGTGAAAAAGCAAATCATTAATAATATGTACAGTATTAGTATGATATGGATGGTTCAACTTTTATTAAAAATCTCTTCGTCCCATTCATCATTAATGATCATTCCTGCAATTTATTCACTTTTAAAAGACATCATTTTTTTAAAAATTATAATCATAAGTTTGAGTCATTTGAGTCATTTCTTCATATTGTAAAATCAATTCTATATACTAAGCAATTGGTGGAAATTTTCTTGAGTGAAATATACTTTGTTTCAGGCTAATGCTTATGTAAAGGTAGAGGGAGCAATTGCTTGAAATTTTCCAACACAGGCAAATGAAGGTAGCAATGTCATGTTTCTCAATCAAATCTTGCTTTAGTTTGGTGGCAATATGTTTGGAATCTGCTCAGCCCTTCAATCTATGGTAAAATGCTTCTTCTTTACCAACCTTTTTATTTCATTACATTCTGAGTTTTTTACAATATATATTTTTCTGTACATATTCTATCACATTTTATTTAATTATTTAATTAGTTAAATCATTCATCTGGGAATCCCAGATTTGCTGATATATAGGAACTATACTTTAGTTTCATTAATTGAAGCTTAATATTATTATGTATCTTTGAAGACTTTTTAATGTATGGGTTAAGGGTTATATATTGTTGTATGTATTTTTACATGTCTTTCATCAATAAAATTTGTCTTCAATTTATGGCTTATTATGTATCTTTCTTGCTTATAAATTGAGCATTCTGATATCTTTGACTTGTCATTTCAGAGCTTCATGTTCATGTTGTAGAGATGTTCACAAAGTAATGAGTTTTTTTAACCTCCATGTCTCTGACTCCTATTGGGACTAGATTTTTACTCGACCACTGATGCATATGACAACATGTGCATGATTTGTTTTGACTTGGATGCAGTTGACTCTCCGTCATTTCAACAAGAATGCAAATGGTTTATTTGACCATAACTAAATCTTTCTATATGAAAGAACTCCTATAACAGATAACCTTTCATCTTGCTGGTCACTTTTTTGGTTGCTCTTCTGCTTTCAAAGGATTAGTTTTATGGTTTTCTTAGATTTTCAAAGTTGTAATGTAGAGTGTACCTTCTCACTTGCTTCACTCTTTGGGGTATGCTAAAATTGACTAAGGAGGATGTAAAGGAAACTAATGTGCAGGGTAGGAAAATGTTGCAATATCATCATCGTTTGCTTGAAGTTAAATCGTAGGTTCAAATATGCTTTCTACTGATTGTACTTTATGCCTCTTGTCTTTTAATTTTGTTTAACATTAATTTCATATTTAATATATGAATGTTTTTGAGTCTTCACTCAAAAAAATAAATGAATGTACTGAACATTTAATTTACTTGCATATACTCCTTTTTTTATTATAACTCTTGAATCTTGAATATACTACATTTGTAGATAGTGATTTTTAATTTAACTATTGAGCATTTAAAACATGTTCTCATTGCATTTTCCTTTTATGTTGGTTTTTTCCCTTCTTTCATTTGTTTCATGGTTGTCATTGTCATCTTTCACATAATGTTAAAACTTCTTTTCTCCTTGAGAATCTTGTGTCCTTAATGCATGCATGGTCTGTAAAGGAACATCTGAAATACTTACAGACAAAATTGTGCGTGTTTTTGCTGTGCATAGTCCTGCAAGAACAAATGAAAGCAAAAGGCATGGAAGATGTATGGCGAGAAGAGTTGATAGAGGACATTGAGCAAAAGATTGGGATTCAAGGAAATGGAAAATGCAAGAAAGAAAGTGGAACTTGCTTACCAAACATCAATTTTTCCAAGACATTCTGAAATAACTTTTCCCAGCATCATTTTCCGCGGCTAATATCCAAGCAACTTATTCTCTAGACTATTGGTCATTCTGTGAAAAGCTTTGTTAATTTATTTTGCGTGTGTTTGCAGCTGTTTGGATTATTAAGAACATATGAGAATATGGTTTGGATTACTTAAAATCACATTGTGCTTGCCACATGTTAGTCAACTGATAAATAATCTGGTCCGAAAAAGTCAGTGAATATGAGGTTTAGTGTACAATGAATTTGAGATGAGAAAGGAATCATAATCTCTCTGGTTTACTCTATTTCTTCTTCAAATCCCAATTATGGACTCACTAATGCTGTGTATGACTTTGTTATTCTTGTACTACCTTATTACATGAATTAGTGCCCATGATTATGTTGTATTTTGAAAGATATGGTTGAGCATTTTAGTTTTTCTGATTGGAAATACTGTATGTTGAGACAAGATTATGTGATTTTTTTTTTCCAAATATTTTCAATTTCAACTCATTTTGTTATGTGAGATTTTTCTTGGCCGTTGTGCTTGTGATATGAGAGTATAATGTCTAACCTCACCAGTATGCTTTTCAACATAGGTCCAAATGTCCCATCTTCAGTAGCCATTAGAGTAATGATCGGGGATGGTATAATTCGACATAAAACATTAAAGCAAGATTATTCCGTTTTCTGTCCTTGTAGGAACTGTGGTTTCTATTTGATGATATACATTTTTTTGAAGTTGATGAGTATTTAAGGTCAAATTGAAATTGTTGGTTGAACTATTTACGTTGATGTGAATTTCTGGCTGACTGAGGCTAATACTTGAATATACTTGTGTTGTTAGTTTGATTTGGGTTCTCTTCTCTAAATCTTCATTATTGTGGAGAAGTACAGGTAACAAGGGCCTTTCACTTACGCAGTTATTTTCACTAGGAGTATTTGCGCTGGTGATTTGGTCCATTCTGACATCTATTCTTGATTCATTCGTTAATTGTATTATGTAGGAACGAGCCTTAGTATTTTCAAAATGAAAATGGGGGAAGATGGATTTAAATGCTCCTTGATATCTATTCATGAAATGACCTTGATTCTAAGACTATAATAAATATTGTTTACAATGAGATTTTAAGAATTTACATAATTCATGGAACTTCAACGTGGCAAAAAAAATGAAACTTCGATGTGAAATGTGTGCTCTCATTATAATTTTAATATTTGTTTGTATACCAAATTAGAGATGTAAAAAAAAATTTCAATTCGTGAGATTCTTCAATTAATTTTAATAAAAAATAACAAATTTTCAATTATAATCTCCTCGCGCATCGCGCGGGGTAACATATGCTAGTTCTCTTAAAAAGTTTACATATTTTTACTTTATTGGCTCATTGGTTCATCACAACCCCCCCCAGGATCTATTATGTATCTATCTCGGTTCGTCGGTTTTAGGATGTAGTACCTGTCGGGTTCCTCGCTTGCCCGTTCTAGGTTTTACTCCTAGGATGTCATTCGCTTTCCTTCTTGGTACATTTGCTTGATGTTAATAAATTATTAATAATAATATTAATTACTAGTATTAATATATCATTATCGTTTTACCAAAAAAGAAAAAAGTTCATGCATTTTTAACATTTGATATTTAAATAATTGGATATAATTCTTTTTTAAAACAGTTAAAAAAAAGAAAGAGCATGCATTTTTTATTATTATTTTTAAAATATTCACAGTATAGTTTTGAAATACTACTAATATAGTATTATTATCAATTAGTTTCACCTTTTCATGCCTAAAAAATAGTTTTTGCTTTTGAAAGAAACTTTTGTATAATATATTTACCAAACAACGAACACGATTGTTATCCTTATCAAAGATCCTATTATAGAACAATATAAGCTTTAAAAATCACTTTTTCCAAACAAATTTAAATCTGTTTCCCCTTTCTCAATCGCCAAATGGGGAAAACTGTGTGGCATGAATTGTTGTTTTTTTTTTTTGTCAAAAGGCATGAATTGTCATTTAAATCTACCATTATGTTATTTGAACTAATTATGAATGGATAATCATTAATATTAACATTATCTGTGTGTGTGTGTATAAATATTGTAATTGTAGTGCCCAGACACAAGTCACAAAATAGTGAGACTTATTTCAAATTTACCCTCTCCCTAATTTACCTGAATCAGTAAGTGGTATTTGCATCGTAACATTTCATTATGATTAATATTTCTAGTATTTATTTAAACACATACTAGTGGAAAAATCTATTTGGACTCTCGCAACGTTTTTTAGTTTTTTTGAGGAAAAGCCAAGATGATATTAACATAAGAAAACATACAAAGTTAAAAGAGTTACAATAGTAGAAGGATAGAAACAGGAATTAAATACAGAGGAGAAAAAGGAAAAACATTTTTTAGTTTTTATTTTTTATTTTTGAGGAAAAGGCAAAATGATATTAACATAAGAAAACATACAAAGTTAAAGAGTTACAGAAGGATAGAAACAGGAATTAAATACAGAGGAAAAAAAGGAAAAACTAACAGAAGTAATTTGAACACTAGAAAAGAAGGATAATAGAAGAGAAATATCATGTAGTAGATTGCTAAATCGAACACCAAAATGTTGATATATGTTATGAAGCTTTTTCCCAACAGCTAGAAGGTGCAGACATAGATCGTCTTCTCCCAGATGTTGACTGTTGCTTGTAATCCAAATCAACGCAATTCTTAAGCTTAGAAGAAGTAAGAGAGTAGCATCTGAATGTCTTTTGTTAAAAAAAGAGTGAATAGCTTTTCCCCGAGAAAGGATAATCAGAGAGCATGATGTATGCCCTTTCCTCTTACTTCTTTTCATTAAAACTGATAAACCTTGTATTGGCAAGTTGTGAGCAGTGAGAGGCTTCAAACAGAAAGCTTTAGTTAGTGGCCTATTACCTAATAACTTGAAAGCCATTTGGAGATAGAAACCCTTACTTTTAATTTCTTCACTAACTTTATCTAGATTTAAGATCACACCTTTATGCGGTGCTAGATTCTTCTTATGCCAAATAGTGTGCAGAACAATGATGATTTTCTTGACTTTTTCTAAGTGACCATCTCGATAAAGGCAAGGGAGAAGAACTTCAAGCCAGGCTATGAAGGCTGGGAGATTTGTACATGACAGTCTAATTGAAAGACTTCCAAACCAGATAGCACGAGTAAATAGGCAAGTAATGAAGATATGCTCCCATAAATTCTGAATGCTTTTACCCTCTCCAGGACTTCACAGAGTGGCTTTCAATTTGGCGGTTTCATTATTCTAGAGGGCAATCTTCAACCTCCAACTCATCCGGCGCTCTTGTTCAATGTATATTATAGCCTAAACCCCTTCTGATGTACACTAGCACTATACTTGTTCGTAATTAATAATACGGTAGTGTTTTCGTGCGAAACAAATAATAGAAGGCAATATATTACTGTTCAGTTTTTCTTATCAGCTCTATTTGTTGTACAGTTCATCTATGATAAAGTATAAGTGGCACAATAAGAAGAGATTTTTTTGGTGTACGAGATAAGTATATAAAAAAAATTTTGCTCTAACTTGCGTAAAGTTATTTATGAAAAGTTAATCCTAACACACCTCAAAAGGCCATATGAGTAAGTTTGGGTAAGTGCGAGTCAACTACTCAAGTCGCATACTTTGCATAAAATATGAAATGAGACTATATTGTTTATGATTTATAAATCATGTAATTTCCTATAGATTTTATTACTAATATAGTGATTCACTTCTCAGTCAAGACATCACTTGAAACATTTCTCAAGTAAATATTTAAGGGCGAAGCCGGATCATTAAGCATATTATATCAGTGTCATTCCTCCAATTACTTAACAAGAAAACCATTGCTGCTGCAACCAACAGGATGAATGACACCTAAACAAAAATTTCACATAGAAGAGACTAGAAAGTTGTCACTGTCAGAGTTTAATGCTCTTGTTAAGGATCAATCTCGCCGAAGTGAAATCAAATGCTAAAATCATTAGGATGGGAATTAGGGATACATTCAGCAGTATGGCTCATAAGTTCATCTGCTACAGTAAAGTGTTTGATACTTTTAATCCATTTCCATCCAGAAGCTTTACACACTGGAGAAGTCTCTCCTGTTCATCTGCTCCAGTATTAAAAAACAAGGAAAAAAGTAAAACGCAATCATGCTAGATCCCCCCGGGGGGGGGGGGGAAGCAACACCATTGTTGTTGTTATTATTATTATTATAGTTATTACAATTATTATAATCATTTATATACAAAAGCAGTGTTTGATGACCAGAACGAAACATGCTAAGCGTCTTCAGCATCACTCATGCTGGCATGGGTGTCAATATAGAATTCAGGGGAGATATCAATTTCATCAACAATCCTTCCTCTGTCATATGGACAAGCAAGAAGATTATACACAATCAGTAAACCACATCGTATAGTCCAGAAAGATATTTAGCAAAGGTGTCAATAGAATAGGATGATACCTCTCGAGGAAAAACGAAAGAATGGGATGGTACCTCTCAAGATGATTTTTTTTTTTTCTTTTTTTGGCAAACAAGAAAAAGAATAGGATGATACCTCTCAAGAACAAACTTCCCCTCTTTATACTGTTGGCTCTTCTCATGCACAGTCTCCTGTAGCAGAACAATAGCATTAAAGGGATTAAAAAGTCTTTTGACAGGCGACTACAACTAAAAAAGGGGAGCTTATGCATGACAAATACTTCAATGTCTCTCTTCCATAACCATTCCTCTACCAAACCCAGGCTGGGCCAGAATAAGCTTTTAGAAGGCCTAGGGTCCTAAGCCCATCATTAAGAGCCAAGTAATAGCCACGGCTAAAGCTTTGAGCTTGGCCCAATTATCTTTTCAACGAATAAAATTTAGGTCAAATTTGACTCGGAAAACATAATTATGTAGTACCTAAATAAGATATGCAAGTAAGGAAAATATTGGGTTAATACAATCTCAAGTTTCAAATTACAGGTTTTGATCTTTCAAGTTTCCTCCCGTTTAAAGCATTGGTCCCTATAATTTAATAAACACCTAGACCATTTTGCACTTTAAAGAACCAAAATTTATGATTTAAAATGAGAGACTAAACCAAAATTCATGCAAACTTAAGGAACCAAAAATTGTATTAATCCAAAAACATATATTCAAACACAATAATGCAAAATTGAAAGAGTAAAATAATAGATAGATTACTTTTTGTTCGACTGGAAGAGGCCAAGCAGGGAATACTATATGTGGGAGGATGGGCTTGAGTTTAAGACCAATGGCCTGGATTACGTTGGGCCATGCATATCCACGGACCAAACTAATCCACCACAACCACAAAATTTCTATCCAGAATATGCATTTTAAGAGTTTCATCTTTAACACTATTTGCAGATGCAAGAAGACGAAAGGGTAAATTAATGGAAAATTACATATTTCCAGCCAACTATTTGACCACAGCAACAGCAAAAGATATCTGCCACCGTATGCAATCCTGAAAGCATCATCCTTTCCTCTAGTACTCCAGCTGTGATGTTCACTCTAGATCACAGGCCCAAAACATTAGCATCTTAAAATAATCAGAACAAAGCAATATTTTCATCCAAGAATGAAGGAAACAGACAAGTCCTTAATCATCCAATATTTGCAATTATTGCAAGGTTAAAGAAAGATAAAACATTGTTTACGGTTTCTTTTTAGCAATAATAAGCTACACAAAGTTAGCCTTGGGACATGCTTTCAAACTCTCCCCCTCCCTCTCTCTATCAACACATGGACGTGTGCAGGTTCCTGTATTGAATATCGTACTTGTCCAATTTTACAAGAAGTTATGCAATTATCTGATAGTACTTTTCAAATATAAGAAACTCTCAAATATTACATATTGCTGCATGCTCATAATCATCCAGTTTTACTAAAACTCAGCTTGCAAAGACAGCATCTTCATTATTTTTCCATTCAAGGGCTGAATCAATATCAATCACATCTATCAAGGAGAAAAGTTGACATGAAAGAATAATAAATGGTTGGCGACATTATTCATAACAAAAGAAAGACGGTCACAATAAATAAATAATGGAAAATTCACCACAAAGAATCAACCTGGAAACAATTCCTCGAACTTCCTCCTCTAAAAATAATAACTTGAAAACAGTAAATTCAACATGGGAGGCAAGAAACTTTTGAGTGAAGGAGAAAGAATCAATGAATTTGTAACAGAGCAATATAGATTCCAACTGACACGACGCAAAAAACAATCTATTTTGAACATAGAAACAAATATTAGCGGCTTTACTTCCTCAGATATATCAAACGCATATTTATTTAAGGCATGCACCTACGAGTTAAGCAATTTTGGGATATAACGTTTAAAGACACATTGTCTCAGGAAACGGCTGCATAATCCAGCATGGAAGAACAGAACACCACATCTTCAATAATTTTTTGAACAGCAGCAAGTCCGAGCCACATCGTTGATTAAACTTTGGCTATGGTCAAAGCAATGGTCAAACTTATGCCAATAACATAGATTCCACTATTTCCAAATTTCGGTCACTTAAGAAGACCTGAAATCAATTTCTTATAAAGTCACTGTAAGCAAATCCAACATGACTGTCTACAAAAGGTTAGGGAAAAACTTCATTTACTTACATCATTCTTTTGAATATGGTTACATATTCTCTGGATGTCCCCTCACTAGAGTATTACAATCAGGGCCAACGAATTGAAGATTCCAAGTTCACTTATCAGAAAGCTTTCAATTTGCGCAGAACTGTCAATATGTTAGAGAGAAAGAGGAAAGAGCTGAAGAAATGAGAAAAGGAGGGGAAGAATTAGCCCCGGATAATTGCATTTTTTCTGAATACATTAACAAGTGATGGACTCGTGCTAAAGAGAATTTTATAATAATGTCCCCAAGAGTAAGGTTATTTACAATAAACTCTTGACTAAATAAAGAAAAGGGAATATTAGGAATTCCACGTTATCACACTTCAAGTTGGGATATCAATAAATTTCTACTAGTAGGTTCCTTCCATTCTATACCACGTAATCAAAAAAATTCAACAACTCATCAGCAGATTTAATCCAATTTGTTGCTTTGAACAAGTGATGTCAGTTGATACAATCATGTCTAGTGCTTGGGATAAAGATGGCAGAGTCAACAGAACACAAAGAAAGAAGCATTACTGTCAAACAATGGCGCCATCAACGGTTATTTTAAATAAAGAATAACTTGATCATATACGTGTACAAGATGTAATCTTCAGCAAAAGGGGTTGGGTCATGGTTATAAAAGGAAGTGCACGCACTCGCATAGAAAAAGATTCACAAAATTAGACTTGGGATCTAAAATTTGTAGATGCACAAGAGTGCCCTTCATCTTGTTGCACTTTCTCACCTCAATTTTCAAGATGCCCATGGTGTACTGATGAATGCAACACTCACAATAAAGAACGAGTTTACAGAATATGAGAGCTACATGGATCGGGTAACTAGTAGTTTCAAATTATATAAAATAAAATATAAGAATCACAGTAAAAGCTTTAGCTGGATCAGTAAGCATTCTTAACAAAATAAAAAACACAAACACTAGTGACAAGCTGGTATTGTTAACAACTTAACATACGAGATACAACACAAACACTACCATAAACTGTTATTTTTCACAACTGAATACCCAGTAAGAAGTGCAAAGTACTTACACATTATTGAAGAGGTATGCTTTACCTCGTCGGCAATGAAAAGCCTGAAAATAATGATACAAAATTTTGCTTAATGAATTAGATTTAAAAAAAAAAAAATCTATCAGAGCATTTTAAGCACTAGAGTAATAGAAACCAAGCAAAATCAACAACATAAGGATGATGCATGCAATAAGAAGCAATAGATTTAGTTATTCATCTCTTATTTACCTTCATAATAAATTATAGTAATCCCCACTTTTGTAGTTATCCCTATTATATGAAGACACCCAATCACAGTAAGATAAATACAAGTAACAATACTAAATGAAGCTAAGCTGGCAGCACTGGAACAGTCAATATTTCTAATCATGACACAGGCATTTCTTCTCCTGGGCCTAAGCACACCAGTGGTTCAAGCTTCTTCTTATTGAAGCTTTCTGACCTTAATTACAGTCTTTTAAGGGACCAGCTATAGTTAAGATTGGAGCTGTGGTAGGAATGATTTGATCACATCTGAGGAAAGGAAAGAAGCAAAGGATACTTCCAAAAAAAAAAGTCAGGAAAAAGGTAGAAATGCTAGCGAAACTATGAACACTTTGCAAAAAGCTTACAAGCCAAGGCATCATAAGAAACTCAACAATAATGGTAGGCATAAATTATTCTTCTAGGAGATGCCGTCTTAGTTGATGGCCTCCAGTGACCAGGTTAGATTCATGATGCAATTGTTGCCATCGGTTGGGTTTACAAAATGAAGCAGAAATCAATCCACATATCAACACCTTAGAAAAGGTATTAGAATAACAATAACTTTGGAGCAAAATTTCTAGGAAAATCCAATCTTTGAAAAAATTAATTGATCTAATCATTACTAATAAAAATGCTACACGTGTCAGAAGTATGCCTCACTAAAAAGTATATTAATATGTTTAGTGTAAAAAAAATGATTGATTTACTCAACCAATTTTTGTAGAGCTAGTGCATCTCAGTATCTAAAACTTTTTATCACCTTGCTAAGTCAGATCCTTTGTCCAGGCTTCATCACAACATACATGCCCTCATCAAATCAAATTCACAAATTTAAAAACCTGTTGGCTGATGGATTCGCGGTTACAGAAAAGGATGAAGGGCGGAAAATCACATCCCCTCACCAATGAATAGTGAAATGTTCAACCGACTACATAAGCTTTAATTCTTCCAATAACGGAACATAACATATCAAGCTTTGAAGGTTTCTGAATGTCAAGAACAGTTCTCCAGCGATACTACTTCAGTATAATAGTATAAAACCACCCCAATCCCATTAGCTATCCAAGAGAGTAAAGGCTGACAGCTGAAGTTTTCAAAAGCTTAATTGTCACTAAACCATGCTTGTACATCCAATGTACAAACCTCACAGGCCGCAATTACATAAAAGACAGCAAATTAATAAACACTAACAAGCACGGAGAATCGTACTTTCCAATCAGAAAAATGGTCTGAGGTTACCAATAAAGAAAGAATAATACCCGAGAGATGAGATCATCGGCAAGGGCCAAGTGGGTTTTGCAGTACTTGCACCTGTAAGACCTGCCCTCCAGCTCCACGACGAAGATTCTTCCCATTTTTCCCTGTTTTGCTTTTCGTTATTATGGAGACTCACGCACCCGAATCTTACCCAAATCAAAGACAAATGGGAGATTTCAAGAGTCCACAGTGAAAGGAATAGAGGGACCGAGGAAGAATTAGAACCGAGTCACGACATGGTGAAAAGAACTTGGTGGAACAATATGGGCCAGGCTGGGAAGTGCAGACTCGCCTCTTCTATCTGTTTCCGGATAATATCTGGCGGCGCCGGAAAATCTCCCTTCCTCGGTTTTGATTTTTTTCCCGAAAAAGCGGCCAGGCTCCCAAAACTAGAGCCGAAAAACGGCCATCTCTTCGACACGCTTAGCCCAAAAATTGTGAAAGCATGGCTTAAAATTTTTTCCTTTAACTGAGAAGTAGATTTCAAAGGGTTAGCTTTATAAGGCCGCGGGTTTAAATTTAACCTCTTATAATTTTTTTATTATTTTAATATTAAAGTTTGTAAAATAGTTTGATTTGTGACAATAATTTGTTCAATTAATAGCTAAAATATAAAATATAAAAATAAAATTTCTATTTAAAAAATTGATATTTTTGCCATTAAAAAAGGAGAAAATTACACTCAAGTCTCATAAAAGATAATTAATTTCAAAAAAATCCCTAAAAATCCCGAAATGATTCCTAAGTCCCCAGAGACCTGTGTATAATTAATTATAATTATGAAATTACCTATTTACCCTTATTAATTTGAACTCATTTATAACCTTAACAGTGGCTGTTGACAACTCAATGAGAGGTGGTTAACAACCTCAGCAACGCTCATGGCATCCCACAGAGTGAGTTATCAGGAACACTGCCGAGGTTGTCAATTACTTCTACTCGGGTTGTCAACAGTCACTGTTGAGATTATAAATAAATTGCTGCAATAAAATTAATGGGGTAAATAAGTAATTTCACAATTATAATTAATTACACACATGTCCCTAGGACTTCAGAATCATTTCAGGATTTCCAGAGACTTTTTTGAAATTAATTATCTTCTATAGGACCTGAGTGTAATTTTTCCTTAAAAAAGAGCATGCTCATAGAAAAGAGCAATTAACGATAGCGATGATGAAATTTTAAATAATTAATGATAGCATCTATCTATTGCATATTTGTATTCTTGATTAAACTTTTGAATGTTATTGTCTTGTTGATAGATGTTTGTTAATGAATGTTTAAATATGATAATGTTATCTGTTTTTGACTTAATTTTATTTATATTTATATCTTTTATTAATAATTTTATTACTTTATTTTTGTTTTCTTTTTATAAAACCGATGAGAAATATAAAAAATTATATATTTCTTAAATGGGTCAAAAGCCGCAATAGTTTTCTAACTACAAATAAACAATTCAAAAATTCCTTTAGTTTTTAATATAAGATATTAAGACCTATTTAACTAATTTAATTATATTAAAAAAGTTAAATAAGTTAGTTAATGAATCATCTTTCTTAATATTTTCCTTCTCTCTTCTACTTAATTCTGGTTGAAGAAGTATCCATAGGAGTAATTTATAAAAAATTAATAAATATAAGAAATAGATCTTATATTTAGGATCAAAATCAACTCAACAATTAGGTCTTATATTAAAAAATAAAGGAGTAATATTTTTAATATTCATAGATTAGTTTTCTGGTTCTCATATCAAACGGAAGAGTTAGTATTTAGTTTTTCTTTCCATATTGCCCCTTCTCTTTTCTTCATCCGAGTCTGTTGGGCTTTGACGGCCCACATCATCTGCTTGTATCTGGGCAGGAGTCCATCAGGCATGTATACCGGGTATAAGGGGCTATATGATATTGCTATGATTTAATCTGACCATAGCAAAATTATAAATTTCATTGTAATGTTACAATGTTACTACTCTTCTAATTATTAATATAAAACCTAATTATCTAATTTGAGTAGATTAAAAATATCTGTTAAATTAGTTAATATGATATGTTTTTTTTAAAACATCCTAATTATCTTTCTTAATTTTCTTCCTATCTCTCTTACTTAATTATTGTTGAAAAAATATCAATGTAGTTAATTTCAAAAGATTGATAAACACGTGAAATAGGTCTTACATAGAAAACAAATATTAATTTTCAAATTAAGTCGTGTATTAATGATGAAAGGACCTAGCATGAATAAAGCAACCCAAAACGCACATCTACTCTGAGCAACCATGACACGAACGATTTTTTTTTTTTTCGGTTCAATGACACGAACGTTTTGATAAATTTATAAAATGACAGACATGATATGGGTGATAATTAATTAATCTTAATCCTTTTTGGGGGGGGGGGGGAAAGGAGAAAGAAAAGTAAAAAGATTGTTTCAGGTAAGACCGCACTTAAGTCAACAGAAACTCATCTGCAGCTCATCAAACGTGAATAAAATTCTCAGTTCATGGTCCTTTCTGATTATCATTTGTAGCAGTTTTTTAGAGATCATTAAATAAATAAATTTTTTATCCTTATTAAGTATTTCCTCTAATCTTATATATAAGCTTCACTTTTGGAGAGAGATCTAATCCAAAATATAATATTCATTTTTGAGTTCTCTGAGCATTTAATACTTTTTTTTTTACTTTGTTTTTAGGTGACTATATTTAGTACCCTCTCCATCTCATTAATATTACCCCATATATTCTTTATTATTTTTTTATTTATTGCCTCTCACATTTATTCTCTTGATAAATAAGTGCAAAGTTGAAAAAATATATTTATGATTTATTTATTATTTTTAAATAATTTTAACTGCTAGATCATTAAACGCGATTCTGTTATTTAAAGTTTATATATAGAACAACAAGGAGTAGTTAGTATTGTTTTGACCCATTTTCTTCTTTTTTACCTCTATATTGGTTTCTCTTAATTAATAGAGATAGAATTGAAAATAAAATCTTAAAAACATATAAAAGACCACCATTTTTTTCCTACAGGAACAATTTAAAAAAGAAAATACAGTGGCATGTTGATAGTGCATGTTAGCGTGCGCGAGTATTTAACTATGCGGGAAAAAATAAAAGGTTAAACCGCACCTAAGGAATGAAATGGGCGCGGGGGCGTAAAGAAAGGAGGACGAAGGAGCACGCGCCACGCAGAGGCAATTAATGGGGAGGGAACGCGCCGCCATAATTGTTGGTTGTTCATCCGACAGACACGTTCCCAGCTGGAGCTGGCGCACTAGCCGCTGCTTCTTCCAACCGTACTCATTACCCACGTGGCCCCACCAGCATCACCACAAATGTCTGCCCCCTTCCCCCTTCATCACACCCAAAAATATTCAAAAGGCACTTCGTACGTAGTATACGTGTTCGCTCCACAATAAATAAATGCCCCCCCACTGGGTCCCACCCAGGCGGCCGCCGCGTTTCTTTCTTCCCCCTTACGACCCAGCCTTCTCTCCCTTTTCTTTTGCTTTTTGCATGGTTTCCACGTAATTTCAACACCATTTATCCTGGGCCCCACTCCGCCCCATAGTATTCACATGTGTCCCCCTCTACAATCTTTGCTTTTTTTATTTTTTATATTACTTTTATACGACAAATAAAAACTAAAATGCACTCTCATATTTAGAACTGAAAGAAGAGTACTACGAATCGCGAAGCGTGGGATATATTATCGGATCCACTAGCATTAAAAATTGGAGTTCCTTCTACCAAAAATAAAAATTGGAGTTTCGTCCGAGTTAAGTTAGGCAGTTGGCGGAGAGGAACGAGGAATTTCAGGAAATAATAAAATAGAACAAATAAAGAAATCAATAAATATGTTTTTTTTTTTAATGGTAATGGGAAGTGAGGCACTGAACATCACGTGAAGACAACATCAACGCCGACAGAAACACAGTCCACACGGAATGCTCTCGAGTGGGGCCCACGTTCAGACACGCTCGCTTCTGATTCGGTCTTACCACCTTGTACGTACCGTTTTCGCCGCCCCTGCCGCCTCGCCCCCAATCACACTTTTCCCCTAATAATAACTAATCAAGGCCCCTTATTAAACATAATTATTATTGAATTTCATTAATCATCCTAATTCAAACAGTGATTGGACCTACCGTCGTTTCATTGTCTGCCCGCGTTATCTGGCGTTCAGATCCGCCCCCTCAAATACGACAATAACAACGCGAATCACGAGGCAATTATTCATCCTCATACGATGACACGGCACCGTTTTGTTTCCGCTTGGTCAATGCCATTGAATACCCGTTCACACCCGACTTTGGTCCTCCTCCTGAAAGATTCCTCCATTCATCAACATAGTAATTATTTAATTGGGAAAAAAAATATTTGGTTTTGGATAACAGCCATCACATAAATTCTCTGTTTCTCTTCTCTCCCTCATCCGCTCATTAAAGAGTCGGCATCAAAGAAACGCCTTTAGGCCTGGCTGATCAAAATCGTCAGATCTCAACAAATTAAATTGCAGGAGAAGTTTCAACCATGTTCGGATCTGTTGGTTAATGGCAAAATGTACGGGCACAATTGAATCAACGGTCGTAATGATGAGCGATCTTTGACGCTTGGAGCTACTTCAAATGAGAACAATTCTTTCTCAGTTCATCTCTCAGGAAACACAAAATTAAACTAAACAGTACTGAATCTTAAGGAAGGAAGCGAGAAAATGAAGGGAAATCTGGGAACAAAAAAGAGATCGATTGATTTCCATTATATATAAAGATGAATAGTAAATTCAGAAACAACCATATGAGAGAAACTCTTGTCAAGTTCTCACACAAGCTGCAAAAAAGGATTCTGTTATCATCTATTTACACAACGTGCGGATATTATCGTCGTCATCAAATCCTAAGCATGTCAGCTACTTTCTCTCCCAGCTGTCTACATCCTCGAAAGACTGTTTTTTTTTTTCCTTTCCTTTTTTCTAAAATTACTAGGAAAAAAAATATGAAGTAGATATATAAAAAACGTCGGATCTTGGCCGGAGGATCTTCAAAACACAGCCAGATCAGGCAACCTCCGCCGGAGGAGGAACGTTGAGGTCAAGATCTAAGACTGTGCGAGGCGAGCCACGCTCGTAGTCCACCACGGAGGACGAATCAGAGTCACTGTGGGCACCGCCATCGCCGGCGGAGCGGCGGAACTCCAGAAAAGGCCGTTCAAAGCCGCACATCTCACGACGGCCGGCAGCTGCCATCATGCTGTCCGCCCGAGCAAACGCGTCAAAAAACATCACCGGGCGAGCTACAGGAATGACCGGGAACCCCAAAGCACCGCCGGAAGTGTACGTCCCAAGGGAGAGTTCCAGCGGTGGAGGAGCAACTGGCGGCGGCGGCGGCGATGACGATTCAAGCGTGCTGCTCTGGCTAGGG